CGTCTCCACCCGCCGCTCCTCCGCGCGCCCACCCCCACCACCGCTCTCTGTATCCCGTTTTGTTCTTCTTAGTTCCGGGCAGCGCTCCATTGAAATACCCTATTAAATCGTAAAAAGAAATACTTTTAACATCGACAAATTGTAGATACACTTCTGTTAACTCGTCTGGGGTGTCAGCGCCGCAGGCCTAGCTATATGTGCGCCAGGCGCGTCGCAGCGTAACAGTGTTTCGTGAGATATCGCGAAGCCTGTTACGCGAGACGTGGTCTGGCGTACATATAGCTAGTTTAACAGCAGAAGGGCGGGCTCAAAAACATCGGTAGGAAACAAACACTTGGGCTTTTTATTTCCACCAATGAGGACACTGAATCCATCTTCCTACCAATGAACAACAAGCAACGATGTGGACCACTTTGTTTCCAAGTCTGGTGTAGGAAAACATCATAAAACAACTTTGTCAAGTCGTAACTTGTTGCTTAAAAAAGACGAGGGGGCCACCACATCGATTGAGGATGTACACAGGATTACGTGATTACAGGGATTACACGTGAATTTTGAGTGATTACACGTGAATTCGGTCGAATTTCAGGCTGTAAAACCATTAAATAGATGGTTCCGGCAGTGCCCGTTTAAAGAAGAATTAATGAAATCACCACCGGAAACAGTTCTAAAACAATGGCTTAAATCAGTGAAAACTGGAATTGACAGTTACTAGCGATTTAATCGAGGTCATTCACGTTGAACTGCACTGACGCATCCGAGCAACAAAGGCGGATCAAAAAGCGGTCGCTGAACAACGGCGGATCAGAAAGCGGTCGCTTAACAACGACGGATCAGAAAACGGTCGCTGAACAACGACGGATCTGCTTTTTGCTGATCTCTGCATACTTGACTTTGGAGGCCTCTTACTCTCCTTAGAGATATCGCATCGTGTTGGGTGTTGTCTCTGTTTATTCACGAGATGATGACAATTAAACTGATGTTTTACTGAAAACGATACAACGCCTCCGCGATGAGTGAGAGGCCCCCAAAGTCAAATATGCCGAGAGCAGCAAAAAGCAGATCCGTCGTTGTTCAGCGACCGTTTTCTGATCCGTCGATGTTCAGCGACCGCTTTCTGATCCGTCATTGTTCAGCGACCGCTTTTTGATCCGCCTTTGTTGCACGGATGCGTCGCTGTCAAATGACACAAATAAGCGCACTTTAGGTACTGGTTCCGGTCCCGACTTCTTTATTTCTTCTCACAAAGTGCACTGTCGGAACGGTCTATTTGGACAAAAAGGTTAAATTTAGTGATAATGTTTTAAAATTTGGTCAAGGATTACACGGAATAGATAAGGATTACGTAGGGACTACACCCTCGGCTGTACACAGGATTACACGAGTGTTGGCCCCCTCGAAAAAAGGAATCTACTGCTACCATTTTAGGTAGACAAGTTTGTCTCGGGCAACGGTATTGCCATGTGTTCACTGTTGGCCAGCGCCAAGTTTCCTTGCATTAGGGCTCTCAAGGCAGCACTCGAAACCTGAATCTTCAGCCATCCTTCTTATTTCAAGGCCAAACTATCCAACCTCCTATCCAATCAACTTTACTACTATTTCAAACTACCTACAAAAACATGTGCTGGTTCCGGAAAACTCAAGCTCAGCCTTAAGCTGCAGCTTTACCTAGTAGTTGATTTAAATGAAAGAAGTGCAGAAAGAAAGTACGGGATTCTTGGCCTAGCCTCGCTACAGGGTTCCTTTCCCCTCGTAGCGTAAATGACTCGTAAATTCACATTGGCTCAGTCCCAGTCCTACCCCAGACTTTTGAAAAGTCGTGAGACGAGCTCCGCAACACTAAAACATCTAAAGGCGCGTGTATTTTGATTATCTGTGCTCCTGATCTTTTGTTTCGAATGGTCAAAGTCGCAGGGTGGTGGGAGGCACCTGGTAGCGAGGCTAGGCCGAGAATCCCGTTCTCCTGCACCTCATCATTTAAATCAACTATAATAACTTACGGTTCATATTCTGTCGACCACGTGTCGCGTATGGTTATTACGAATAAGGTCTGAACTCTCTTAATCTTAGTTTGAATGAGCCCTACGCGCCCCTTCAACGCAACGTGAGTGAATTTTACAGGATTTTTTGCGACTGATCAGACAATACATCAGGTAGGAAAGAGAAGTTTATTCCATTTCGATAGGACTTAGGAACGTAAAGCAGTTTGTCTTTGAACA